GGGGGCCTCATTCCCACAGATGCAAGAAACTGAATTCTATCAACTACCTAAACAAGCAGGAAACGTATTCTTCCCTAGAGCCTCCGGAAAGGAATGCAACCTGGAGACAACTTTGATTTTAGTCCAGTGAGACCTGTGCCAGACTTCTGACCTACAGAACTGCGAGATAATACCATTTGTGTTGTTTAAGCCACTATGTTGGTGGTAATTTGTTAAAGGCGCCCAGAAAACCACTAGGCGGTCCAAAGGATAATACCCTGTTCTGGCACCCAGGTCATCTTTGTAGTGCCCAAATACAAGAAATTCCATATTACTTGGATTATCAATTAGCATTTAGTCAGTACCACCCTGTGCAATGGAAACTCAAATTACTGCTTGCTAAAATCAAATTAGATTATGTCTCACAAATGGAAAATATAAAGACTCTAATGTCCTTTCAGGAATCTGACATTATTAACTTAAGAACACTGACTGGGACGGTGGGTAAAGAATGAAAATCATTAGCTTTGTTTTAGATCAACAATATTAAGATGCATGCTGACCCTTAACCATCTCCCCAAAATTTGCTCTTGGCAGAAATCGGCAAATTGATGATTATCAATTTTAAAGCTTAGCCTTGGCAGTCTGTAATAAGAAGTCCATGGGAGTTCAAGGAATGGTTAGATCTTTTCAACTAAAAGATACTCCAAAATGATAAAATTAAATAAACTGGTTGGCAGACTTAAGTGGATCATGGATGATGGATCTGTACTGAGTCATTAAGAACTCAGGAATATTTAGAGGTTGACATTATGAAAGATGACTTTCCTTTGTGCCGCTGAGAGACACATTATCAAACTAGACAGACGATGGTACCATTTCATATGGTGTTAGCTCACAAAGCACATATTTTTTCCATCATCCATCCTGGTCTTCTAGTTTCACTGTGAACTCTAACCACAGAACAATGATCTGAAGGCAAGACCCTCATCACTCTTTCAACTATCCAACGACTTAATATGTACTAAGCACATAGTCTAGGGGTGATACAGCATAAGGAGAGTAAGAAATTATTCTCTGCCCTTCAACATGCCCAAGTGTTTGACTTCTGGGTAAGTTTTAACATCTCATATTAAAAAATTTTGAAGCCTCTAACTCAAGTTGATGTTTCAAAGGCAACATTTTTGAGTTCTGTAATAAACTAGGGAAAAATTGGAATTGCTCAATAACATGTAGTATGCTTTTCAAAAATTAGAATGAAGATGGGGACCATGGAATGCCGAACAATCATGAGTATGAGCTGAGCAATTTCATGGCCATCTTTTGATATACATCATCTTCAAATAAATACATGAATTTTGATTTATCCATTTTCCAGGTATAAAAGTACATGCATATAAAGTCATGTATCTTGCCATTTGTCTGGCAAAATACAGAACTTTCAGAAGTTGTCAGGCTAAAACAGGTTACAAAAATAATCTATCTTCTTTGAAATCTTCTAAAATTTATTTTCAAATGTAAAAGTATGCTCACTGTAGAAAAGGACTGCTAATGATAAGGTTTTCAAACAGACAGAATTTAATTCAGATTCCAATAGTAATTTATTACAAAGGTTTTGGCAAATTGGCAAGTTGGATATTTCCTTATTTCCTTCTGAAAGTGGCTGAAATGATTATTATTTTGTATTAAAACCCATGTGACACAGTGTGAACTGACTATATTTCAATAAAAATATATATACAAAAAATGTGAAATAAGCAAATACCTTTAGGTTGGACAGTGTTAGGTCAAGTATGTAACATAAAAATTGTCTGATTAAAAAATATTTACAATGCATTCTTTTCCTCATTCAGGTCCATATCTCAAGCAGTTTTCCGATTTTGATAACAAATTTTTTTTCCTGAATTCACTCCTATTTCACAGACTGACACCCATTCAAGACCTGTAGCATATACGTGAGCTTATAGGTACAATCTGTGGGTGGACAACAGAACATCAAGTCCCACAAACTTGAAAGTTTTAGACACTGGGCCCAATAAAAACATGCTCTAAAGATTCCACACAACCAGAGGAGAGTATATAGCTCAGTGGTAGAGCGCATGCTTAGCATGCATGAGGTCCTGGGTTCAATCCTCAGTACCTCCATTAAAAAAGTAAGAAATAAGTAAACCAAATAACACCCCCCCCCCAAAAAAAATTCCACACAACCAAAAGCACATCTGTTAGAAACTGATTAAAAACTGTGAGTCACTCACTGATACAAGAGAATAAACCCCGCCATGAAAGAATAACTAGTTTTGGTGCTCTTCTGGTTCATGGTGGCCTGTTGGTGCAGTGCCTCGTGGGCTGGGAGGGGGCACATGGTCACTGGCATCCACGCCAGGGCCCAGGGGTCAAGGATACTCAACTGGCTCATGGAGGCCTGCGTGGTGAGGGGAGCAGGGGGAACTTGGTGTGATGGGAAAAATGGTCCTTACAGATGAGCAAATGAGTATGTTGAGAATAGTGGGCACTAGGTTCTTCACTGTCAAACAAAGGAACTACAAACTATAAGAGGAGGGAAGGAAGCCAAGATAAACCCTGTGGAGCAATACTAGAAGTGGAGGCATCAATGTGAATATATGCTTTCTTACATAAAGAGACATCAAAAATGTCAAGATCATGAAAGAGAAAAATAGACCAAAGAACGATTCTAGATTCTGAAGCTAAAGCAGGAGAACAAATGTCATAAGTAATTCTGGCCTGGGCAGCGTTGTAAAGGACATCATTAGGACAATGGACAAAACATGAACAGGGTCTACGGATTAAATGATAATATGATATCCATGTTAACTACTTGACTTCGATGGTTATATGAAGGAGTTACATGGAAGTGTAGTCTTACTTTTAAAAAATGTACACAAGAAGCCAGGAGAGGATATAGCTAAGTGATACTAAGCGATAGAGTGTGTGCTTAGCATGCACGAGGTCCTGGGTTGATTCCTTGTACCTCCATTAAAATAAATAAGCCTAATGATCCCCCATCCCCCCTAAAAAAAAACAATAAAAAATACACTTGACTTTATATACTAAATAGGTGAGTAGGTATCATGACTCCAATCTACTCTTAAATGGTTCAGGGAAAAAATTACGTAAGATCATGTGTATCTGTGTAGAGAGAGAAAGAGAAAATGATAGGATAAATGCAGCGAAGTGCTGAAAATTGGAGAACCTGAAAGGGGGAATACAGGTAAACTGTATGGTATCATGCCAACATTCCCTAGGAACTGAAATTTCAAAATGAACAGGGAAAAAAAAAAAGGAAATTCTTTGCAACTATATAAATTCCAAGGCATATATATTAAATGAAAAGAAAGTGCAGAAAAATATATACTGTGTTACTACTCTATGTAAATAAAGAGGGGCTGCTGAGAGTAAAAACACATGGACACTATGAGAGTGTATTCTTCTTTAGGTAGAATGCCTCTAGGAGGAACATGCCAGGGTCTATCTGACCTACACTGGTTTCTTCCACAGATGAGAAACAGGGAGCTAAAGAAAGAGGAAAGGATTTTTTACTCTGAGAATCTGACTTTTGTACTATATGAAATGAAGTAACTTTGACAAGAAACCAGAATGCCTCACTGGTTGCCAAAGACAAATGCCAGGCTGGCTGCCTTAGAAGCACTTGTGGGACATTTAAAAACTCCATCAGTAGGCATCAATTTCAGAAATTCTATTTCAGCGGGTCCAGGATAGGGCTCAGGTATCAGTAAAATTTCCCTAGTTAATAATAAAACAGCGTGGTGTGGGAACTGCTGCTTTAACCAAATCACCCAAATCTGATCCTTTCAAATTCTAAGTAAATTAGGAAATTAGGAACAAATACTTTTTGTCGAATGAGAGAATAAGATCATAATCTAGGGAAAAGAATACTCCCCAAAGGACGTGGGAAAGTCTGACACCAGGATTTGCACTGAACTCTGATGGAAGCCTCATGTCACTGGTTGCTCTACCCTTCTGTTTCCTAAGGACCAAAAATATTGTTGAGACTAAGATAACCTGAATATTACTTAGGACAGAAAACACATTGAGATACTCTGCATTCTTCAAAAAGAACATTCTATGTAAATATTATTACAAGAGTACACAGTTACTTTTCATTAAAAAAAGAAATCAACAGGTTATCTGTAACATTCTAGACTTCAAGGGGTGGGTCCACCAGTGTTCATTTTGCTATCTTAATACATACTAACTATAGTCTCTTGTACACATCAGATGTTACATGGTAAGAAGTTAATTTTTAAAGTAAAGTAACAAAATAACAGTTTAGACACCTGGCCCTTACATTTTTCTTGAGGTTTTTTTTTGGGGGGGTAATTAGATGAGTTACTTATTTTTTAATGGAGGTACTGGGGACTGAACTGAGGACCTTGTGCATGCTAAGCATGTGCTCCACCACTGAGCTATACCCTCCCCCCTGGCCCTTACATTTAAAAAAGAGAAGTAAATACAAGAAAACTCAGCATTACCATGCCAGCAGTACATATTTATTATTACTCATGAATGGTCAAAAGACTTACAAGGCCCATTACTATTAGTATACCGCACATATGAAATATCACTTAAGTGACATGGAGTGAAAAGGACAGTTTTATATATATTTAAAAAATACATACACACATTCTCTCTCTCTCTCTCTCTCAAGTGCTCACCACACACCACTACAAAAGCAGGAGGCATCAAGCTGCAGGAGTTCCGATATACATAACACGTGGAAATATCTCAAGCATAAAAACTGCACTTACGTTTGCAAAAATAAAGTTTCTTTCTTCAAACATTTTGATCTGAGCTCAAGCAAATCAAACAATGAACACCAATGATTTTTTATACTATTTAACTCACTTTAAAAGGATCAACGGTTGCAAAAGTCCTGAAAATGTAGAGGTTATTTCTAGGAATGAACAATATATTTCATCCAAAAAAAAACAAAAACAAAAACAAAGAGTCTACAGCAGATCTGTTTCATCCTGGCTCTCCAGTATTTAAGAATCATAATTTACTATATTCAAACAGCAAATTAAGCCAGAACAAAATGATAAACAGAAAAATCGTTACTTCAAAAAAGGCAGTATTGCCCTTCGTTTCCTTAGACAATTTCACCAGTGCAAGAGCATCATTTACCTGAAAGATCATGAGTCACAATTAAAGAGCACTCATACAAAACTATTTCCTTTTTTTCTTTAAAAAGTGCCACATACTATACTTCTCGTTAAAAAACAAAAACAAAAACAAACAAAACCACCACCACACACACTCTAATGAAAGACCGTTTGTCTCCATCTCTTGTCAATGAGGAAAGGCCAGAGTGACTCTTTGATTCCAATTCGAAACGGTGTTCGCTGGCCAATGCCCAGGGTCTCCAATTTGGAGCAGTCCAGCTGCGCATTTCTGGGACGCTGCGCTCCTAAGACAGGACTGTCAGTTATCTATGAAACAAGAACAGAATATCAAAACTAAGTGAAAAGCCACATGCTGAGGTTTATTTAGATTCTCTACTTCGCTTTGCCCTCTTGCCCTCGATGCAAGAAGTTGGATTTGATCCTTGGGAAAAATAAACAAAGTGTCTGCTACAGGTAAGACAATACTTTTTCTATAAACTTCAACAATACACAGGGCCTTCTTTTTACATGGTAATTTAGAGAAAAGTAACCAGACAAACTGCCAACATACAAGCAAATTCACTTTGCTTGTACTGGAAAATGAAGTTATCCAACACTTCCACACAACAAGAATGTTATCAGTAATACATGCCATCGTGATGGACGTAAGTAAGAAGGTTTTAAATGCCATGTACTTACAGGTCGTAAGTGGCTGCTGGGGAGGTTGAAGGCGTCTGCAATGGCACACGCCATTTCATACTTAGTCATCTGTTCATTGCCAGACCAGTGAAAGGTTCCCTTAATTGATGGATCCTAACAAGGACACAGGACACAAAAAACTCAAAATGCTTTCAAACTTTTTGAGTTGAGTGGAATGGCAGGTTTGACAAGAAAACTAACTTTAAAAGGTCCAGGAAATAAAATGTATCGCTCCTTTCTGGAATGCTCTACATAAGATATCTAAAATCAAATTCCTAGAAATATCCTTAGTTAAACATGAAAAGCAATTTCTAGAATTTAGCCTTAAGAATTTTTTAAAATAAAAATGTAAGTGGCTCCAATTTTATTTAGTGGCAATCCTAAAAATGCTTACAGAATTTTATGGAAACACAGGTCAATTTAATGAGTATTTTTAATTATCCTAAGAAGGTTAAGACTAAAACCAAACAGAACCATTTTTTCAAGATGAGTTAATTAGAAATAACACCCTTAAATACTGCCATAGTACATATTTAAAAAATACATACATTTTGATGTTTCAAAAATTAGTCATACTACTAATATTCTAAAATAAATCAGTCTCTAATCTTTCTATGAACATTCTATTTAGCTCCAACTTTTTCAAATACTTAAAATATTCAAATATCTTAAAAAATTACGAACTATTCTTAGAGTGGCTAAAATGATAAATTCCTCTGTAGATTCTTTTTTGCCATTACCTAGATCTTAAATAGACTAACTTCTTAAAAGACATTACATTATTTTGTTACTTGAAGAAAAAACAAGTTTTCAGTTATCTTCCAATAAAAAAATGATGGCAGATGGGGTCTACAATATTTGAGAAATAAAATCAAACACAAAAGCATACTATTTTTATTATTTATGAGTAACAACCTTCTGTCTGAACTACTTTTGTTTGGTCTCCGCGTGGTTTTAAAGAAGCACTTAGATTCTCACCAGCATCCTCTTCTCTGCTAGCTGCCGACACACCGTGGCTACATCTCTGACGTGTGTGGGGAACCGCTGCTGCCAGTGGTCCATGTTGGCCGACTTGTTGCTGAACTGCACTTTATCAAACATAACCGTCACGGCACTTTCTTCAAGCTTTTCAACTTCTCCGTACAGAACAGGAATTCTCAAAACGGCGGCTCCTAGAGATTAATAAAAGCAGATAATATTTTAAAGCTGATTAGTTCTGAAGTCTCGATGTAAGATCAAGGTACATGGATGTAAACAGCATCCTAGCAGAAAACTTGCATTGCACCAAAATGACACAGCTCACCTGTAATAATGCCTATTCAACAAATGTGATCCTGAATACTTTTAAATGTCTGTCATTTGAGGTATTCTTGTCATCATATTGATTGTACATTTCTTCATTATTATGGCCGCTAAAAATAAAACTGATCATGATAACTAAATGCAACAAGTGATCACTGACTGTATCCTAGATTAGAAAATTAAAATGCGTGAAAAATATGAAAACGAATATATGTGTGTTCCTTTATGACTGAAGCACTGTGCTGTACACCGGAAACTGACACAACATTGTAAACTGACCATACTTCCATAAAAATATATTTTAAAAAATGCAATAAAGGACATTATTGGGACAACTGGGAAAATTCCTATATGGACTATGTATTGTATTAATGTTAAATTTCCTGAATGTGGTAACTGCACTGTAATTACGTGAAGAACATCTTTGTTAGAAAATAACATGGTGAAGTATTTTGGGGTGAAATTCAACTAATTCTCTATGAGTTCTGGAAGAAAAAAAAAATGTTATGTATAAAACCCGTGTTAAAACATAACAACTGGTGAATCTGTGTAAAGCGCATATGAAGGTTCACCACATAGTTCTTGAAACCACTGATGCAGGAATTATGAAGTATTTAGATTTTATTTTGGTCAATACTGAGAGGTTACAACAGATTAGACAATTAACAGTTTAATCGAAATTCAACAAGAGCTTTTAAATTAAATTGACTTATCAGACAAGTGTATAAGGTAACTTTTGAACAACATAGGTTTGAACTGTGTGGGTCCACCTGTATGCAGATTTTTTTCAATAAATACACACACGTAAACACGTAGAAAACACCACGCACAAGACTTGTACAGAAGTGGACAGCCTATCTTTACAGGGGCATAAGGTGAGTGACATTTAATATAAAATAATGTGCTCGTTTTCATATTGTTCTATTGTTTTCAGACAATGACATGACCATACAGTATGTCTCTCTTCTCTCCTGTAATTGGAGAAACTGCCTATCAGCCTATTGTCACAGGTAAGTGGTTTAAAAAAAAAAAGTAATAGCGTTCCCAATACTGTATTACGAATGTAACTATAATACTGCGCGCCATAATAATTGTGTAACGATTCATCAGTGTATAGGCGAGGCTACTGTGAAGCGATCAGATCAATTACACCAGGCTACCAAGAAGCAACCGTATCACTGCTTCGTATCATTACACCTTTAACTAAGCATGAATTCCTTCTCACATTATCTTGTCATTTCTGAAGTCTAGAGTTAGTAATATGAGTAACACCTACAGTGTTTTGTATCATCAGACAGCACTGATGTAGTCACTGATGGACACTTCATCTTGTAAGTAGGCAATGTAAATGTACGGTAGCGACACGGTACGATACTGAATGTATTTTCTCTTACGGTTTTCTTAATATTTTCTTCTCTCTAGTTTACTTGAAGAATAGCATATAATACATAGGGCACACAAA